CCACAAAACAGCTCAAAAACGAAATTGAATGACATGTCGTCGCTCAGTGTGTTGAAGTATGCATTGCCATCTTTGGAGAGTTGGGCTTCCAACTTGAGAAACATGTCAGAGGCGGAGCTCTGGAAGAGGGGTATAAATTTGGTGTGCTGAGAAGCGAGTAGGGCTGCGAAGTAGCTCTTGAGAGTGGCGTGGTTGGGCTCCGAAGGGTCAAGATAAGTGCAGACGCGGTAGCCCCCGGTGTAGGCGGTGGAGGGCATGTAAGTGCCGTCCAAAACGTCGCGTCTCAAGACTTTGGTGGTGTCAAAGATGATTGGGAAGCTCTTGGCATCGAGCAGAGCAATGACTTTAGGGTTCGAAGCGATGAGGATGCCGGGAGGCATGTTTGTGCGGAAGACTGTGGACTGGTATTTTTCTGTTCTGGTTTTGAAGAAATCGTATCGGCCTTGGTTGTAGAAGTAGTCATAGCGATCTTTGATGTGTCCAAAAAAATGACCAGCCATAGTCTCCAGGGATTGGCTTCAATGGAAGGTTGTTTGGTGAAAAAGAAGCAGAAGAAAACATGGTTTGATAATTGTGCTTTGGGACGGGGAAGAGGTGGAATTTTTGGCGGCAATGTGGGATGAGTTGTACGAGGTTTTAAAAAAAGAGATGTGCTTGCTTTGGGATCGATAGTGTGGTTTCCCTTATATATATACAGATATAGGGTGGGAACTTGTGGTGGCGGCTAGGGGTAGAAAAGTATTTTTAAACAAATATTCTATAAAAGTTGCTGCATATGTTTGTGCTTTTCAGCCTGGGTCCAATTGGGGTCCTTGTATCCCAGTTCCTCTTTGAACCAAGAAGGATAAGATTTGCAGCAGAGGGAAAATTAAACTAACGTGGAGTAATGAAATTGAAGAAGAAAATGGTAGAATAGTATTTTGAGCCCTTGATCATCTAATTCATGTGGTTTTAGTGACAAAATAGAATATGGGTTGGACCAAAAATCCAATCAGAATCAGGGAGGGTATTTTGTCCCATCTTCTAATGACATCAAAACGCATGGGACATGAAACTAGTACGGCTGAGGTTACACCAATGACTTTTGTCTTTACAACACGTTCTCCCTTAAAGTGTTTTTTTTTAAGTTTTCATACAAGTGATATTAGGGAAGGAGGAATCCAAACGCAGGACCTCGGTATAAAGATAACCGGTTTTTAACAACTTGAATTATAAATCTCTTACTTATTTATTGATTGATTTTAAATAAAAATAATATCGATATAATAATTTGGTTGTACATAATTTGCACACAAAATATTTTGTACACAATCAATTGGGTTGGTTGGTTTGTTTTAATGTAAAAGGACTTTTCTTTTGTAAGCTAACATGTGATGGGTGTGTTAATGTACTAAATACAGTATGGTCAAAGTGGCATAAATATTATATAATAATATAATAATATTTATTTATGTAGCAATATTATATATTTATATAATTATTTATTTTATGAACACAAAATGCATGTGCGAGAGAGGTCAAACTAAGTCAATTTTTAAACTAGGCCCCGATATTTTGTTAATTGTGGGGCCTTGATATTCTGAATATGGGAAACTTAGGTTAAAATCTTGAAGGTTTTATTTCTTTGTTGGCCAAATGTCTTATTTAGCCTACATGGTTGAAGAAGAAATTAAGTGTAGGCAGCTACCCACACTAGGCTCTATATAGGTCGGCCAGTGCATATACCATGCGCCATTGAAGTTGAAACTAAAAGTTAGGAAATATGCTGCTGGGTTCATGTCCTTGCTATAACAAATTTTCTGTAAAATTATTATCAACTTGATCACTTATTTCCTGACTTTTAATTTCAATTTCAATGGCTCTTTTTTTCCAAACATATGTCCTCGGGGCTTAATGAAAGAGTTAGGAAATTGAAATATTTTTTTTTCCAAACATATTTCCTGACTTTTCCTACACATGTCCTTGTGGCTTAATGAAATTTCCTCATGATTTTGTTTTTACTATGTAAATAATATAAATTATATAGGCTCCAATATATTTAGAGTGCTACTAAATGAACACTAAAATTAACTGAGCACACCCTACTACCAAACTATTTATTGAATTATTAATTTATCCTAATATAAAATGACCAAAAAGAACATATTGACCATATGTTAATAATAATACAAATGTATTTTCTATCCGTACATACACAAACAATGAGTTTCATCCGCCTGTCGTAGAATCTGAAAATTTTATTCTAATGTCTAACAATCAGTTTTCTGATCTTGCTAGGTTGAGCATCATCTCCAAATGCCTTTATTGGTGTTATCCAAATGCATACTTTTGACACCTCTGTTAGCTAGGAGAAAACTTTTCTACTTCCTTTCTATTGATTCCCATCTCCATCTCTCTCTCCCTCCTCTGTTAGAGCAATCGTAATTCATTTATTGGAAAACCGGATTGCGGTTTCAAGCCAATTATGAGGAAGGTTGCCTTTCAATTCTCCACTCAAGGCCCTCAACTATTTACAATTTATACATCGATTCCGAATTTCACAATCGGCTTCAGAAATCTTGGTTAGCATTCCACATGTTGTATCATGGGGTGTTACACTAGTTTCAACTGTCGACATGACAACCATCATCAATATGTACACCATTTAGATAAACACTACTACAAAGGACCCCTTAAGTTATTGTGATGTTAAAACTGAAGCAATCTTGCTCACCTTGCTTGTTCATGTTCTGAAGTTGGCTTCTCGATCGACCAGCTCCCATCTTTAGCCAAAGCTGCAGTTGAAATTTTGGATGAGCCAACGCAATTTGACAAATCAACAGAAAATTTCATTCATGCACAAATCCAGTCCTTACCAATTTGTCTCAAAAGTACTGCAAACCTAAAATCGAAAAATAGAGCACTTATCATATAAAAAGATAAACCTGGCTTAGAATTGGTTAGGGTGTTGTGTGATAGAGTGTATAAGGTTGTACCATGAGTATTTTTGGTAGTTAAATAGGGTGTACTTAGTTAATTTTACATTTTAATGTAAATATTAGAGTGTACTTGGATCGTGTACTCAGTTAATTTTAGGGTTCATTTAACAGCACTCAAACGAAAAGGACACATAGGAAATTTTGAAATTGTTAGAAAACCCCGAAGAGCACTATAGTTTGTTTCCTCGCACACCGTCGCTCACTTCTCTCTCTCCCTTCCAGCGACGCCGGCATTTCTCGCCATTGATTTGTCGCCGTCTGGCTACGTCAGGCCACGGCACCGGTCCCAAAAGAATCGTCTCCTCCTCCTCTTCATAGCCCAGTTCTTTTCCTAGCTCGAAAACTCAAGGTTAACCGGCTGTCTCGACTGGAAGTTTCGGCAGAAACTTCGAGGACATCGCCGGCAACGTTTCCTGCCACTCCAGGCCGTGCCACCACTTGGAAAAGGTAGCTCTCCTCTCCCTCTTTCTTTCCCCTAGGTTAAGCAGCAACATTGGTGGCTGTAACCACCGGCCTGAGCTTGAAAAGCTCCGGCCACTACCCTCACGATTTGGCCATTAATTCACCTAGTTCCGGCCAGTTTCTGGCCGAGGTCCGAGAACAAGAAATGTTCCCCTTTGTGCTTGAACTGTTGGTATAGTTATTGCAGGGAGTTTTAGAGTTTCTCCGTCGCGGGAAACCGCATTGAACCACCGCCGTTGTCGGCCGCGAGTGGCGGCGCGTGAGCCGGATCCGTTTTCATCCTAGAATTATCCACAAGTCGTCCCGAGTATGACGGTATGCTCGGATTTGAAGTTGGTGACCGTTTGGCTATCGAACGGATATTGCGCCTATTATGCAATATCTGGTTTCGATAGGTTCGGACCGTTCGATCGGTTTCAATTTCAATTATGTTATCCCATGTATCTTTAGGATCACATAGGAACTTATTGATCGAGAAGCATTGTTTTTCTTATTGTCAAGTGCATGCATAACTATGATTTGATCATATTTAAATTGTGATTTAATGGATTTGAATGTGGTGGAGTTTTAATGATTTTATGTTGTATTATGGTTATGCATAAGGGAATTGGGTATTATTATTATGGTTATGAAATATGGGATTTATGTGGCTACACACTACTTATTGTACCTCATCTTGGTTCGATATGGAATGGACGATGAAATTATGGAAAAGAATTATGCGTGCAAAATCATAATACACACATAAGGAGATTTGTAAAGTAAAGTAATATCAAAGTCAATTATCAACTAGGAGAAATAGGATACATAAGGAGATTTGTAAGTCCTCATATAATTCTAATTTTCATCATGAATTAAGCAAAACAAACAATTTATGTTCTCAAACATTTTTCTACGAGATAACAATTACACTTATTTTACACCATGGGACATGAATATTTTGTCATTTCAATTCTTTTCCTAACAAGGAAAGACTAACATGAATTGCATTTCTTATATTAGAAAACATGAATTGCATTTTAACGTGAGATAAAAAAGGGCATTGTGTCTGATTCCTGACAATCCATTCACAGAAACACTACTTTTTCATCTTGCCTTTTGATCTTTTTTTATTCGTAAAATATTGGAGGAAACTAAAAATATAGGACCCTTATGAGTTCATGGGAATCAGAAAATGACTGCATATTATTTTCTGTTTTAGATAATTAGATCATTATATAACTTTAAAGTGTTTGGTTCATGAGAAATGGGGGCTGAGGAGAGGACAGAGGAGGTTTGAGCTTGGCAAGTAGGAACTTCACTTTCACTTTTGAGGCCTATTCTCTTCTAACATCTTTCTTGGCCAATAAAATCTTCTTTGGCCCAGTCATTTTTAACTTTGAAGAATTGCCCAATTGCTATGCTTGTTTGTTTCTAGAGCCCACCAGTTCTCTTTTCATTTTCTTCTTCTTTTCCATTTGAGAAAAACAAAAAAAGAATTATAAGAGAGTTGTTTTTGTGTTTGCAGTTGTTCTGTTTGAAGTTTTGGGTTTAGTAAGAGAGGAGGTTTGACGATTGATTATGTTTGCTTCTAAAGTTTCAAGAATCGGAGTTTCGATACTCAAACAGCTCTCCGGAGGTATGCACTGAAATTTACAATTGTTTATTTAGCTAATGTCTGTCTGTTGGAAGTTCAACATGGTAAAATAAATCCCTTTTTTTCTCAAGTATTTTTTTTTTCTACTTGTCATTCTCATATGGTTGGTTCCAATTGCATCCTTCTTTCGCAAACTGCAGGCAAACTCACATCCATAACCAGAGCAGGATATAATACGAGTAGTTGTTACAACCAATACTTGCAACCTCTGGTCAGTTTCCTCCTCTCATAGAATTTGCTATTTGGTTTAACCTTTTGTTTCCTGTATTCATCCTAGATGCTTAAGTTTTAGGTCTATCAATCGGTACATCATGAAGGGTTGAAGAAACAAAACAATTAAACAAAACCATTTAATGGAATGCCACAAATTGAATTATTATGGATCTTCTTGTTGTTTTTTAGTGACCACTTCTGTCTTCGAATAATGGGTGGCTGTCGGCAAAGTTTACTCCTTGGAGAATTATAGGGTAGGAAAAGAGAACCTGAACCATATATGCTTTCTTCCTTCCTTTCTTGGTGTTGCTATGTTAGAAACCATTACTTGTTCTCTTACATTTGACATTTGAGAAGCCCAAGGGATATTAACCACTGTCTCTTGTCATTCTTTTCCTCTTAATGTCACATACCGTGCATTATTTGTTGTTATATGGTATATGGTATAGAATGGGATACTCTTGCAGACCTAGGACATTGTACAGTGCCTTGCAAATTTTGAAGGTAAATGGACTGTGTTCATTCCAAGTTAAGTTTTATTTGTAAAAAAGTGGTCTTTATCATTATGAGTGAATTAGTCATGTTTCATTATGTTGCTAAACTTAGGTCCACATTTAAGAACAATGGAAATAAAACAAAGTCGGTTTAATGATATGCTTTTGGCAAGCAATTTGAGAATTGCAAAAACCATTTTAAAATCTAAATGAAGGAATATATATGCTATTTTTAATTTTTTTGTATTATTTTAGGTATTTTATAAAGAAGTTGGGAACTGAAATCATATTTGAATTGTGATACGTGGGTTGAACGATGATTAATGTGAAGTGTTAAGTAGTTTTTACATTTATGTATTTTAGTAGATTGAGCTTGCGTAGGTGCATTCATGTTTTTGTTCATATAGTTATGGTTTCTTTGTCTTATAAAATGTTTAATCAACAGTCTGAAACTAAGTTGTTGCGGGGAGTCATATTTCACAAGCATCATCTTTTTTCTACCGTTAGTGCCAGCGATTCTTCAAATGAAGGGATTGAGCAGAAAGAAAAGTAAGTTATTTTGGGTTTAAATGGTTTAACGCTAATCATTAATAATGTTAGGAGATTGATTCTGAGTAACAATGAGAGAAAGCAGTTAAATGCATATGCACGGATTGAACATATATTTCTGTATTTATTTGTGCAAAATTAATTGCAAATTGATTTATCTTTAACAATGTTTTTCCTTATGTCAATTAGGAGCACCTCATGGCCCTAATTCTCCTTTGAGTTGACATTATTATGTTGTTTCTTCACAGAGATGATTTATTTGCAGGATATCTGTGACATTTGTTGATAAGGATGGAGATGAGATACATATTAAGGTTCCTACTGGAATGTCTATGCTAGAAGCTGCCCATGAAAATGATATAGATCTTGAAGGCAAGGTTCTGGTGCTTATTTAAGAGTCTTTTTCATCTTAAACCCAAATATGTTCCATCAATTGCTGTTGCCCTTTGGACAATTGTTTACTGGAATCACTTGTTTTTCATCATTTTCATGCATCTTTCTACTGATAGTGTTGCTATCATAGGCATTTGTCAATTAGATTGGCAAATACTTATTAGTTGCTTTGGACTGTACATTGGGTGACCTTCCCTCCCTCTCACCTGTGTTGTTGCATGCTTATTTCTTTAAATGGATCAGATTTAGCTGTTTGGAACCACAAGAGATAGTCACTGCTATGTCAAATGGTTTTTTAATCATATTTGCAGAATCTGATGCTCTGTTGCTTCTTTCATATCAGGAGCATGTGAAGGTTCAATTGCCTGTTCAACATGTCATGTGATTGTGATGGTATGTTTTTTACATTTCAAAGAAATGTGTTTTTTGAACTTAAATTTGGTTTTAATAGAACTGGAGTATGAGGAGCTGATTGTAGAATAATCCTGCAGGATATGGACTATTACAACAAATTAGAAGACCCAACTGATGAGGAAAATGATATGTTGGACTTGGCCTTTGGGCTTACGGAAAGGTATGTTAACAAATTTTCGTGTGGAATTTTTCTTGCAATTGGTTCATACTGAAATTTATGCTTGTGACATTGTAGTTCTCGCTTGGGTTGTCAAGTGATTGCAAAACCTGAACTTGATGGAATTCGTTTAGCTATTCCTGCTGCCACCCGAAACTTCGCTGTTGATGGCTATGTTCCTAAACCACACTAGAGATGCTATAATGCTTCTGGAAGAGTTGGTTGGGTGTTACGTGTAACATCCCAGTTTTGTAACTCCTATATCTTATTGGACCAATGAGCACAACTTGAGTCCTATTATTTATTCATTTATTACTAATACTGATTATAGATTTGCTGCTTATTCACGAACTCTCTAACATAATATTTACAGTTCGATCTGAATAATCTAGGGTTTCTTATTTTTATTCGGTTTTTATACTTAGAGCTTGTAAGCGCTTTTTGACCATCGAATTCGCTTATGATAACTTTTGGCGGAAAAAACTTATAAATACTTATGGGTCACAAAAGCTCTTTCTAAGTGCTGTTTATGAATAACTTCCAAATCATTCGGATATTTAACAAATTGTTTCCTACAAAGTGGTTGCTTGTTTACCTTTTGTGGCTCTACTTTCAACCAAATTTGGAATTGACCGATCCTTGCTTGAAATTCATTTTTGTTCTAAAACACCTAATAAATCTCCCCCTCTTTCTCTTTGACCGGTCGGCTTGCTAGACTAATTGGTAACTCATCACGCAACAAATTCCGACGGCTTAGTTAGCTACTTTGACCTCCTTTCACGACGACAAATTCCAACGGGTTGGTGAGTTACTCAAATCTTTTTCTTTGCGACACCGTAATTTAAACTAATTACCTGATAATTTGTTGGACCTTGTAATAATCCTGTTTTCTTGCTTTAAACTTCACATTTTTTTGGTAGTAATAATAATAGTCATTGCCTATTGCTTTTGGGTTCCAAGAACCAACCTGCTAGTTAACCTAATTCAAATTTTAGTTGTCATTTATATTTCTGATAATTTCATTCCTTGGAAAGCTAATCTCCACATGGTCTGTAGTTGAGCTTGAGCTTAGGCTAAACCTCTACCGTATGTTGTGACTTCAAAACTTCAATTGCAGTGTCATGAGCTCGTGGAGCATGGTGCTTCTGTTGCAGAAACCCCTGCAGCAGTTGGTAAGAAGTGCAAGTATACAATTGCAATGTTATCTGATCATTCTGCTGCTCTTTCGGTTGGTGTTTTCACTTTGGTATTTTGACACGTCATTTACTTGACTTCTACTTATCGAAATGCAAAATACCTAGGTGGTTTTTGGCAAAGATGGCATTCTTGAGCAGATTTGTGCCGTAAAAGGTTATGTCGACATGTCTACAGTTGATGCTGATATCTTCAAAGATTAATGAGGTTTGAGTTACTTGCTCATGCTACTCGATTGTTTTAACTTAGTTAATGTCAGACAATCTCTGAACGGTCAACTGTTTGTGTACCATGGTAGACTTTCAATGAGAAAAAGGACATAGTTGATGCAAATGAAAGACATTCTTGATCTGTGGTTTTCTGATAGATGCAGGATTGTTCTGACTCAGCACACTATGTTTTGTATTTTTCATGTAGTGTTGATGTAGACATGTAGGAATGTAGGGTAGGTTCTTGACTAAATCTGGATGTAAGGTGAAGGATTTTCTAGAGTGAAGTTTATCTTTATCGTGGTGACCAGTGAAAACTTGGGGCTGAAAGAAGTATGGTTCAGATGAGGAAAACCAAGAATTACTGGTTTGGCTTTGTTTCCTATTTACTATTGCCTTGCAGGAATTAACGTCTAAGAAAATAAAAAAGAATATGAGATGAAGAAGAAACTCACGGCACGGTAGAGTTTTAAATTTAAAATAGTAGGTGATGCATGTCCATGAGTTTCACCACCAATTTTCATACTGACAGGGGCAAACCTAGAATTGTAAGGTTGGGGGAGCTGAATATTAAATAAAGTATATAGCATACATTATTATTCAGAAGTTACATGGTAGAGCTAAATTTTTTTTACTTGTTTATGTTGGAGAGGGGCCATTAACTACAATTACAACTTGTCTATCTATTACTATATATATGGTTACTGAACTTAGGATTCTGAGTGGCTACCAGACCTATGAGTTGCTATGCCACTGCTTACTGAACTTAGGATTCTGAGGCTAGACTAAGCAGTAGAGTAGACTTAGGGTTCTAAGCTCTGTAATAAGCTTTCTTCATTTGTTAGGATTCCACTTACTGCATCAACATGTTATATAACCAAGCTGAATAGAATGAAAAAGTAATAACAGAGCTATAGCTACTGCATCAACATGTTATGAGTGATTTTTTGGAGCAGTCTTGACATTAGTTTCTATCTTTAATTACACTAAAGTTTGTGATATGTGCAGTAGTTTGCCACTTAAAGAGTAAAGCTGACTTTTTCGAATTCTAATCCATGCTAGGCAAAGTTAAAACTGTCTTAGGAGTCCTTGACTGTGAAAGTTAGAGCTTGTACACATGACGTGGGCTTTACATATTTTACTTTTGCAAACAGCACTAGATTCCTGCATAACCCCACCCTCCAAAAAAAGAGAGTAAAATAGGTAATGTTTTTATTTTTATTCCTGAAAACCTCAAAGTTGTACAGATCTTTCAGTTTAAAGAAAGCGAAATTCAAACAGAACCAGATATCGTGAAGGGAACAAAAAAAATATCCTCTAGGGTTATTATAAAGCTCTTTTTTTCCTAGGGCTAGAGTTGCAGAGTTTTGAGTAAGGGATGGGCTACAAAATACAATAACTATATTATACTCTTCCGTTCAGAGGCATGATTGCAATACCTATGGTTAAGTAAGGAGTAGGATTCCTCACATGCTTATTCCTGTCCGCAGGTTAACAATGTATGTTTATTTGTAACATTGCTGCAGCAGTTCACTGATTATAAATGTAGGCATTGTACGAGGAAGTGATTCCTGCTTTTAATGTCATGGGAAAGAAGTCTTTCTACCTGGGGCAGGTCGGAAATGGAGCAAAAATGAAACTTGTTGTCAATATGATAATGGGAAGGTAATGGTTGCTTCTAAAGAGATTAAGAATGAATGGTGTATTTCATAGATTGATTACAGATACATGGGTTGACTATTATATACACATTGATAATGTCTAAATAAGGTAAATACAACAGGATTGATGTAGAGAATCAATCCAGATCAGCTATAACAGGAAGGCAGAAATCAAGGTTGACTTTGGTGAAAGATTGCAGATGATTGCGTTGATGATGAGGTGATTTCCTTTGATGAAGGTTCCCTTTTAAGCCCCTGCAAGATGGTGGTCCCATCGGAGACACCGATCTTGGACCGGAGAAGATGAAAATGCAGACGTGGAAGTGGTTTGGTGAGGGCGTCGGCAAGCTGGTCAACTGTAGAAACATGAGAAACTTGAAGAAGACCACTATTGACGCGATCCTGGACAAACTGAAAATCGATATCAATATATTTCATGCGAGAATGGAGAACAGGATTAGCACAATAAAATGTGGCTCCAATGTTGTCCAAGGAAATGAGCGGTGGTGCGGGAAGGGAAATGCCAAGTTCACGTAACAGGAATTGAATCCCTACAATTTCTGCAGTGGTGGTAGTAATGGTATGATATTCCGCTTCGGTGGAAGAGCGGGCTACAAAGCATTGCTTGCAAGAGCTCCAAGAGATGAGGTTTCCACCAAGATAAACAACATAGACAGTAGTGGATTTACAGTCATCGCGATTACCAGCCCAATCCGCATCAGAGAAAGCATAAAGATGGTGAGAGGAGCAGCGAGAAAGATGAAGACCAAAGTATAAGGTGCCTTTAAAGTAACGAAGGAGACGCTTGAGGGCTTGCCAGTGAGATTCCGAAGGCTGATGCATGAACTGAGAGAGTTTATTAACGGCAAAGGATATGTCAGGGCGTGTGAGGTTGAGATGTTGAAGACCACCACCAATGATTTGACGAAATCGAGAAGCATCAGTAGGCGGAGAGCCATCATTGAGTACAAGACTATCATAGGGAGATAATGGAGTGCTGACCTCCTTAGCACTGTCCATTTTTGCTTTTGGGTTCCAAGAACCAACCTGCTAGTTCACCTAATTCAAATTTTAGTTGTCATTTATATTTCTGATAATTTCATTCCTTGGAAAGCTAATCTCTACCGTATGTTGTGACTTCAAAACTTCAATTGCAGTGTCATGAGCTCGTGGAGAATGGTGCTTCTGTTGCAGAAACCCCTGCAGCAGTTGGTAAGAATTGCAAGTATACAACTGCAATGTTATCTGATCCTTCTTCTGCTCTTTCGGTTGGTGTTTTCACTTTGGTATTTTGACACGTCATTTACTTGACTTCTACTTATCGAAATGCAAAATACCTAGGTGGTTTTTGGCAAAGATGAAGTTCTTGAGCAGATTTGTGCCGTAAAAGGTTATGTCGACATGTCTACAGTTGATGCTGATATCTTCAAAGATTAATGAGGTTTGAGTTACTTGCTCATGCTACTCGATTGTTTTAACTTAGCTAATGTCAGACAATCTGTGAACGGTTAACTGTTTGTGTACCATGGTAGACTTTCAATGAGAAAAAGGACATAGTTGATGCAAATGAAAGACATTCTTGATCTGTGGTTTTCTGATAGATGCAGGATTGTTCTGACTCAGCACACTATGTTTTGTATTTTTCATGTAGTGTTGATGTAGACATGTAGGAATGTAGGGTAGGTTCTTGACTAAATCTGGATGTAAGGTGAAGGATTTTCTAGAGTGAAGTTTATCTTTATCGTGGTGACTGGTGAAAACTTGGGGCTGAAATAAGTATGGTTCAAAGATGAGGAAAACCAAGAATTACTGGTTTGGCTTTGTTTCCGATTTACTATTGCCTTGCAGGAAGTAACGTCTAAGAAAATAAAAAAGAATAGGAGATGAAGAAGAAACTCACGGCACGGTAGAGTTTTAAATTTAAAATAGTAGGTGATGCATGTCCATGAGTTTCACCACCAATTTTCATACTGACAGGGGCAAACCTAGAATTGTAAGGTTGGGGGAGCTGAATATTAAATAAAGTATAGAACATATATTATTATTCAGAAGTTAAATGGTAGAGCTAAATTTTTTTTACTTGTTTATGTTGGAGAGGGGCCATTAACTACAATTACAACTTGTCTATTAATATCTATTACTATATATATGGTTACTGAACTTAGGATTCTGAGTGGCTACCAGACCTATGAGTTGCTATGCCACTGCTTACTGAACTTAGGATTCTGAGGCTAGACTAAGCAGTAGAGTAGAGTTAGGGTTCTAAGCTCTGTAATAAGCTTTCTTCATTTGTTAGGATTCCACTTACTGCAGCATCAACATGTTATATAACCAAGCTGAATAGAATGAAAAAGTAATAACAGAGCTATAGCTACTGCATCAACATGTTATGAGTGTTTTTTTGGAGCAGTCTTGACATGAGTTTCTATCTTTAATTACACTAAAGTTTGTGATATGTGCAGTAGTTTGCCACTTAAAGAGTAAAGCTGACTTTTTCGAATTCTAATCCATGCTAGGCAAAGTTAAAACTTTATTAGGAGTCCTTGACTGTGAAAGTTAGAGCTTGTACGCATGACGTGGGCTTTACATATTTTACTTTTGCAAACAGCACTAGATTCCTGCATAACCCCACCCTCCAAAAAAAGAGAGTAAAATAGGTAATGTTTTTATTTTTATTCCTGAAAACCTCAAAGTTGTACAGATCTTTCAGTTTAAAGAAAGCGAAATTCAAACAGAACCAGATATCGTGAAGGGAACAAAAAAAATATCCTCTAGGGTTATTATAAAGCTCTTTTTTTCCTAGGGCTAGAGTTGCAGAGTTTTGAGTAAGGGATGGGCTACAAAATACAATAACTATATTATACTCTTCCGTTCAGAGTCATGATTGCAATACCTATGGTTAAGTAAGGAGTAGGATACCTCACATGCTTATTCATGTCCGCAGGTTAAAAATGTATGTTTATTTGTAACATTGCTGCAGCAGTTCAGTGATTATAAATGTAGGCATTGTACGAGGAAGTGATTCCTACTTTTAATGTAATGGGAAAGAAGTCTTTCTACCTGGGGCAGGTCGGAAATGGAGCAAAAATGAAACTTGTTGTCAATATGATAATGGGAAGGTAATGGTTGCTTCTAAGGAGATTAAGAATGAATGGTATATTTCATAGATTGATTACAGATACATGGGCTGACTATTATATACACATTGAAAATGTCTAAATAAGGTAAATACAACAGGATTGATGTAGAGAATCAATCCAGATCAGCTATGACAGGAAGGCAGAAATCAAGGTTGACTTTGGTGAAAGATTGCAGATGATTGCGTTGATGATGAGGTTATTTCCTTTGATAAAGGTTCCCTTTTACGCCCCCGCAAGATGGTGGTCCCATCGGAGACACCGATCTTGGACCAGAGAAGATGAAAATGCAGACGTGGAAGTGGTTTGGTGAGGGCGTCAGCAAGCTGGTCAACTGTAGAAACATGAGAAACTTGAAGAAGACCACTATTGACGCCATCTCGGACAAACTGAAAATCGATATCAATATATTTCATGCGAGAATGGAGAACAGGATTAGCACAATAAAATGTGGCTCCAATGTTGTCCAAGGAAATGAGCGGTGGTGCGGGAAGGGAAATGCCAAGTTCACGTAACAGGAATTAAATCCCTACAATTTCTGCAGTGGTGGTAGTAATGGCATGATATTATGCTTTGGTGGAAGAGCGGCTACAAAGCATTGCTTGCGAGAGCTCCAAGAGATGAGGTTTCCACCAAGATAAACAACATAGACAGTAGTGGATTTACAGTAATCACGATTGCCGGCCCAATCCGCATTAGAGAAAGCATAGAGACGGTCAGAGGAGCAGCAAGAAAGATGAATACCAAAGTATAAAGTGCCTTTCAAGTCATGAAGGAGACGCTTGAGGGCTTGCCAGTGAGATTCCGAAGGCTGATGCATGAACTGAGAGAGTTTATTAACAGCAAAGGATATGTCAGGGCGTGTGAGGTTGAGATACTGAAGACCACCACCAATGATTTGACGAAATCGAGAAGCATCAGTAGGCAGAGAGCCATCATTGAGCACAAGACTATCATAGGGAGATAATGGAGTGTTGACCTCCATTTTTGCTTTGAGCAGGAAATCACGAATGTAATGGTGTTGGGAGAGAAAGAGACAATAAGATCATCAACATAAACTAAGAAATAAATGACATGACTGCCAAAGGTAGAAATAAATAGATAGGCATCAGAGGTAGCATTGCGGAAGCCATTAGAGAGCAAGAATGAGCTCAATTCCTTGTACCTTGTCTGGCGTGCCTGCTTAAGGCCATAAAGAGCCTTCTGGGGTTCACAAACATGAGATGGTAGGTTGGCATCAACAAAACCAGGGGGTTGTGACATATAAATAGTGTCACTGATTGTGTCATGAAGAAAGGCATTGTTGACATCTAATTGACGAACAGGCCACAGCCATTAGACACGGCAAGATGCAACACAACATGGATGGTGGTGGGCTTGACCACTGGACTAAAAGTATCCTAGAAATCGACGCCAAGGCAATGATGAAAGCCCTTGGCGACCAAACGGGCCTTGTACTTGTCAATAGTGCCATCAGGGTGCCGTTTGATATGAAACACCCATTTACAACTATAAACACGAATTTCCTGCGACAAATGAGATAAGAACACGTGTACAAAATAATATTTGTATTGATTTATCAAGTGTGTAGGTTACAATCTTTGTGGGTATTCTTTCACAAAAATAAAAGAATTTCCTCTTATTCAATCGCCAAGAGTGTGTGCGGTTCAAAGGTGCCAAGCACTTGATCTTGAATCGGAATTTCAGACTTCGTTGAGGGCCGTCACGGCTTGATCTCGAATACGTCAGGACCACGAATAGTGTCACGTGGTGGATAGTCTTCGAATTTGGCAGTGGAGGAATCGGCACGTGTTTGTTTTGCTTAGTGATTCTCCACGAGCTTGATGAAGAACTTGAGAGTATAGGTGTTGCTTCGGGTAAAGAGCTCTCTGGTTTTACAAAGTGTGTGTCTCCTCCCACTACTACATTTTTCACTTTGCGCGACGAAGAAAATTTCGTCGCGCAAAATACATTATAGTCGCACAAATTTTAGCGCGACAGAAACTTCGTCGCGCAGATTCCGTCGCGCAAAGATCGTGGAGAGAGACTTTGCGCGACGAAATTTTTTCATTCGTCGCGCAAAGAGACTTTGCGCGACGAAAAAATATTGGTCGCGCAAAGTAACTTTGCGCGACGAAAATATTGGTCGTGCAAAGCGACTTTGCGCGACGAAAAAATATTTGTCCCGCAAAGCGACTTTGCGCGACGAAAAATATTGGTCGCGCAAAACTTTGCGCGACGAAAAAATTTTAAAATTTTTTTTAAAAAAAATTCCCTCGTCCCATTTTTGGTACCCGCCCAAATTTTTAGAGTTTTGCGCGACGAATATTAATGTCGCGCAAATATTTGCGCGACGAAATATTTTGGTTTTTGACTTTTTGTTTTATTATTTCTTTAATATTAATTTAATTATATTAATTATTTCGAATTTTAATTTTTAAATTAAATTTAATTGTATGATTTTTTTCGTTACTTTAATTTAAATTGATATTAATTTAATTATATTAATTTATTCAAATGTTTACTTTTTAAATTTAATTTAATTACTTTAATTTAAATTGACATATTCAAAATAAAATTACATATGAAAAATAGTGATCAAATTATCCAATAAATATATATATATAATATTCAAAATGTACACATAAATTAACAAAGTACAATAAATAAATAAAAGGGATAATCTCCCCTAAAATTGTTATACCACAAATCCAACCCAAACTCCAATCCCTCCCCTTTACTCAACCCCAAACCCCACACAAACTCAAAACTAACTCCAAAAACACATATTAATGAAAAAAAAATTAAAATTTGGAGAGAATCTACCTTTTGGCAAGATTGAGAGTGAGTGAGAATGAGAGAGAGAAATGAGTGTGAGAGAATTAGAGAAGATAGTGATAGAGAGATGAGAGAGTGAGTGAGAGTGAGAGATAGTGAAAAGAGAGATGAGAGAGTGAGTGAGAGTAAGAGATAGTGAAGAGAGAGATGATGAGAGATTAAGTGAGAGGAGTGAGAGTGAGAGAAATGGTGGGATTTGGGGAGAGGGAAAGAGAGAGGATAGGAAAGAGTAGAGAAAGACATTGAGAAAATGGTGGAGGAGTTATTTTTATTTTAAAAACCGTATCACTTTGCGCGACGAACGACATTGTTGGTCGCGCAAAACTTTGCGCGACAAAAAATATTGGAGTATTGGTCGCTCAAAGCTTTGCGCGATGAAAAATATTGGAGTATTGGTCGCGCAAAGTTTTGCGCGACGAATATTAGTATATTGGTCAAAAAAAAAATCCCGCGTCCCATTTTTGGTACCCGCCCAAATTTTGAAATTTTTGCGCGACGAAAAACACATATTGGTCGCGCAAAGTCTAAAAAAATTAAATAAAAAAATTCCCGCGTCCCATTTTTGGTGCCCGCCAAATTTTTGCGCGACGAAAATATATATTGGTCGCGCAAAGTCTAAAAATTTATTTTTTTTTTTTTTTTTTTTTCCTCGTCCCCTTTTTGGTACCCGCCCAAATTTTTAAAGTTTTGCGCGACGAATTGTTGGTCGCGCAAACTTTTGAGAGACGAAAAATTGGTTCATAGCACGATATTTATAAAAATAATTGTTATGAATAATAAAATTATTTTTTTTTACGATTTAAAATATAAATAAGGTTAAAGCTACTTAATAAATGTATATACCAATTTCTTAAGTGTTATACGTACAAAATAAATAAATTTAAAGCTACTTAATAAGTAAATATATATATACACACACACCATTTAACGATCCAACCGTCAGACTTGTTTGTATATACTTCAAGATCGTATACCCCAAAAATTGTAAAAAACAAACATTCGGAGACCTAGTAACGAGACAAAAAATTTCAACGGTTCTTAATGAAAAATCACGATTTAACGGTTATTTTAACTCCGATTTTGATGATTTTTTTACAGCTACACTCCTTGACCCTATATGAATACAATGAACTAATTCGATCGTCAATTTAAAATATTTACACTAGTGGATACCACAAAATCTTATGTTATATTTAACAAAAGTATAAATAAACTCTTAATTGTTAGTGAATATATTGTTTTGATGGCATACGCATTCAAAAAAACAAGTTTCAACGATCCAACCGTCAAACTTATTTGTTTATACTTCGAGATCATATACGCCAAAAATCGCAAAAAATAAACATTCAGAGATCAAGTAACGGGACAAAACTTTTCGACGGTTATAAATGAAAAATCTTGATTCAACGGTTATTTTAACTCCGATTTTGATGATTTTTTACCGCTACACTCCTTTACCCTATATGAATACAATGACTGAATTTGATCTTCAATTTAAAATATTTACACTAGTGGATACCACAAAATCTTATGTTATATTTAACAAAAGTATAAATAAACTCTTAATTGTTAGTGAATATATTGTTTTGATGGCATACACATTCTATGAAACTAGTTTGAACGATCCAACCGTCAAACTTGTTTGTTTATACTTCGAGATCATATACGCCAAAAATCGGAAGAAATAAACATTCAGAGATCAAGTAACGGGACAAAACTTTTCGACGGTTATAAATGAAAAATCATGATTCAACGGTTATTTTAACTCCGATTTTGATGATTTTTTACCGCTACACTCCTTTACCCTATATGAATACAATGACTGAATTTGATCTTCAATTTAAAATATTTACACTAGTGGATACCACAAAATCTTATGTTATATTTAACAAAAGTATAAATAAACTCTTAATTGTTAGTGAATATATTGTTTTGATGGCATACGCATTCTATGAAACTAGTTTGAACGATCCAACCGTCAAACTTGTTTGTTTATACTTCGAGATCATATACGCTAAAAATCGGAAGAAATAAACATTCAGAGATCAAGTAATTGGACAAAACTTTTCGACGGTTATAAATGAAAAATCACGATTTAACGGTTATTTTAACTCCGATTTTGATGATTTTTTTTATAGCTACACTCTTTGACCCTATATGAATACAATGAACTAATTCGATCGTCAATTTAAAAAATATATTTTCTAATAAAAACCCAATCCAAAAAACAATAATATATTTTTCTAACAAATATTTTAAAAAATATTTTATTTATTTTTATAAGGACTTTGCGAGACGAAGTTAATTGTTTCGTCGCGCAAAGTAGCTTTGCGTGACGAATTGTTTTTCGTCGCGCAAAGTCGCTTTGCGCGACGAACTGTTTTTCGTCGCGCAAAGTTACTTAGAGCGACGAATTTTTTTTCGTCGCGCAAAGTAACTTTGAGCGACGAATTTTTTTTCGTCGCGCAAAATTTGGTCGCGCAAGACTTTGAGCGACGACGTATTGTCGTCGCGCAAAAGTTGGTCTCGCAAAGTCGCTTTGAGCGACGAAAAAAAATTCGTCGCGCAAAAGTTGGTCGCGCAAGGTTTTTAGCGACGAAGTTTTGAGTTTCGTCGCGCAAAGTGTCTTTGCGCGACTAAAAATTATTCGTCGCGCAAAATTTGGTCGCGCAAGGGTTGTTTTGTAGTAGTGTCCCTCCGAAGGTCCTTTCTCACGAATATGAGCCTAGTATTTATAGGCAAAGAATTGAGTCTTGGTTTGGAATCCCCAAACTGAATCCCTTGATTTGTGGAATTGGTTTCTGATTTGATTTAATTTGAGCTAATTGATTTAATTTAGCTCTTAATTAAGTCAAAATCCTTCATTTAGGGAAATTAACTCGTGATTTAGGAAGATTATCAAATAAGGATAATTTATTCCTTTTCGGCATATGATTTCATTTGATTGATGAAGATCTTAGATGCTAACATGTGCCATCTCTGGTGCACACCTTTGTCTGCATGAGTCATGTGCCACGTGTATTTATGTCGAACCCACAAATTTTCCAATTATCTTTAACTAGTCAAATTTTGAATTTTGACTATTAACTGTAAATTAGTGAATTTGTATTTCAATAAAATTTCCATGTCTACAACGACCAATAAGATTGTGAGTAGGGTCATGTGGAACAATCTCCCAAGTTCCATTGCTAATTAAAGCATTAAACTCAGTGGACATGGCAGCTCACCAATGAGGGTCTTTAATGGCCTGAGAAACACATGTCGGCTCAATGGATGAGGGTATGGGGTGTTTGGTAGCGACTAGAGCATAACGAGGATTGTGCTTGCGAATACCGGCTTTGGCACGCGTCACCATTTGGTGATAGAGAACCGTAGTGCGATAGAAGGTGGTGGGGAAGGCGATGAGTCAGTGGCTAGGAAGGTAAGAACGAGTCTATTTGGGTTCTGGTGTAGGTACGAATATGGGATGGTTGGGGAGGTTGGGTTACGGGTTCAGTAGGGTTCGGATTGGAAGGGAGATGGGTTAGGTTCTTGGTTTGTGGAGGGGTACGAGTAGTATGGGGTGGGTTAGAGGGGGGTGGGTTTTGTGGCGGAAGTGGAGAGACAAAGGGGTCGTGGGTGGTATGTGCGCAAGGGGGCAGAGCTGCTCCAAGGCAAAAGAGGCAGCGGAGGATGATGTGGGTGGTGCAGTCAGCAAGTAGGTGGCAGCCAATGGTGGTGGCATGGTGGCTACATGGAAGGGAATGTGAGTAACATGAGGAGCAAGAGCAAACCAAGAGGTGGAATTAGGACGGAGGACAGAAAAAGCAAAATTCTTCACCTCATAGTTGTATGGATTGCATGTCTCCAAACCCATCTTAGATAATAAATTTCTCTTGGCATACCAAGGAAGTCCAATATTCTTCGAAATTGATGTTGGCTTGTCGATGAATCTGTAACCAATAGCTCCAGCCCTTTCACTGCAATAAATGATGTAGTAGCAAAGATAGATGTCGACAGGGTTTAGCAAACCCTCCCACATGTCCTCGCCACTCAGAACCCTCCACCTAGCTGCAAAGCTACCTTTAGGAACTGAGACATCTGAGCACTCAATTCAGCTAAAGTAGGGTGAGAAGGAGAGGTGGGGTTGATGGTTCTACCTTCATGAGGAATGAAAAACTCATCCTCCCCCATGGTGGCGAGGGTTTGAAGATAGAGTCCGCAATCCCAAGATAGCTACTATGATACCATGCTAAAGTATGAGAAACTATGAGAGAATATGCGTTTGTTGGAATTTTCTGTGTATACGTCCTTGTAGGAGGTCATATTTATAGTACAATAAAAACTTGAAGGCCAAGGAAAGTAATAACTCCTAATTCTATTTACAGTAAAAAATCAAAAATAAAAGGGAAATTAATTACAATTAATATGGAAATCCTTGGCGTGCAAGGAAAGTTTAATTAGTCAACAATTTGCACAAACAATGAGGTTGCGAAAATTCTTGGACAAACGAAAAGGAATTCTTGATTTTATTTTATTTATTTTTTATACAAGTCGGAAGAGGAGGGAAATCGAACCAAACCTCGAGTGTAAGGGTACATGCTCTTAACCATTTGAGCTACAAACTCATTACCTTGAAGATGTTTTATTATAACAAATTTCTTATGCTCATTTTTCAATTGAGCTGAAACTAAGGAAACAATAGGAACATTAAAACTAGATGCTATAGTTTATTTGGTGCGTGGAGTTGTTCCTTATCCCAGTCCCACATGATTGTCAATTTAAATACTAGGCTCCATCATCATCGTCGTCGTCATCTTTCTCATGATCCATTAACTCCCAGGAGCCGTCCTCCATTTGAACCATAGAGTTGTTCCTCTCTATCCACCACTTAGGAATTATATGATATTTATCATCTAGAGCATCCAAAATTTTGTTTACCAATGCAAGATCTCGATTAATTTCCAATTTAAAATCATTGTTTCTCCCTTGTGTTCCTGCCACTCCATGCAAGTAAACCTCCAACTGATGCACAGAGTCTATTGCATTCTTCAAGTAGGGCGATTTGAGAGTGTCGATTACCAGCTCTTTTCCAACAGGAACATAAGGTAGAATTGGTAACTTAGGGACGGGATCCCATTCGTTGGTGATACGCAAGACCCGAAGATTTTCGAGACTAGAGAATACCTTCTTGAAGCCTTTGTCTCCCACATTTGGGCAGGCAAACACAACGGCTGTGACAAGACTCACATTGTTTGAGTTTGTAGGCTTATTGTATCCGTTATAAACAATATCAGTTGCATTTAGAACTGCAATAGCTGAACCCATGCTGTGGCCAGTGACAGTAATGCTGATCTCCTCGTCCTTGTATTGGTCTACTAGTTCTCTAACTGCAGCTAGAACCTGCAAACAATATACAGAAGATATAGGTGGAAATTTATGTTTTCACTTTCATTTTTCTGTTATAAAACTTGATCAATCCAGTTGAAATATCTGATTTGGTGTTATAAAACTTGATCAAATCATAAGCCATGTTGAATGTTTGGTTTGTTTAATATGAGTAATTACACTTGTTCTGTGTGAATTTCGTGACTAGATAGAATATTAAAAGAAAAGTGCGATGTGTTTGGATGGGAGTTGGTTTGGTAACAAAAAAAAATTATCAAAGAAAAAAGATGGTTCGGGTGATATTTCATTACTATTTTACCCTTTTTATGTCTATTACCATTACAACCGTTAATTTTCAAGTATAATATTACAAGAGTGGTGATTTCCCCACTCCAATTTTATCAACTTACACTCTTTTATAGTACTTAATTTAGAGCAATAAGGATGTAAGTGTTCAAACTATCTCATTTATTTTATAAAAACTCAAGAACTTACTTTTAGTGGTATTTGTTCTGGCATTCGTGGCTAATGGTCTTTGTGCCTGATTTATGAATACAATCATTGTCTTTCTTTCAAATTGAGATAACAGTTGGTACTTGTAGAATTACTATCAATTCAACTTAAAACAAAAATAGAATTAAAAAGAAACTTATATATACCTGATCTCTGCAACTAGCAGTTTTATTGTGTGCTGACTCAGAGTCAAGATTAGTATAATAGCCATGCCAACCAAGGTGCACCTGAGGATTATGTTCCTTTCCCAGAATATCAGAAGCTGAGAAAAAAAGTATTGTAGCGTCGACCTCTACCTCTTGGTCCAACATGGTTCCTCTCCATGAAATCAGAATGTCCCTCCTTCCTAACACTTTGCTTCCTTCATCCGTCGACACCGCAACAAATCCCAACAAGCTTGATTTCCCAGGTGCAAATCTTGTTGCTGCATACAAATACTTCTTCACCTCGTACTTGTATGGATTGCCTGTCTCCAAACCCACCTTAGAGAATAAATTTCTCTTGGCATACCGGGGAAGTCCGATATTCTTCGAAATTGATGTTGGCTTGTCAATGAATCCGTAACTAATGGCTCCAGCCCTTTCACCGTAATGAATGATGTAGTGGCGAAGATCGATGTCGAGAGGGTCTAACAGACCCTCCCACTCGTCCTCGCCGCTTAGAACCCTCCACCTGGCTGCAAAGCTACCCATGAAGTTAAAAAAATTTCTTTTGCTTTACCAATAAACAACTATAGAGAGGATTAATTGGAACAAATTAACCTTGATGCATTATCTATCGATGTCGAAGCTCCTGTATTTATAGTGAAGGATGTACTACTTGTCCTGTTTCTAAATTAGCAATTGGTCAAATTCCCAGCCACATGAACAAGACCTCCAATTAAATATTTAATGTCCCACATGTTTGGTTTTTTGCTTGCTTTGTTTACCGGCCAGCTAGTTAACTTGAAAGGACTAAATATGATAAGGATTTAGTATATTAATATTGAAACCTTGATGTCTTGCACGCATATATTTTGGATCATTATTGCTAGTCATATATATATATTTTTTTTTGGGTTGAAAAGTCATATGATTGTTTAATATCACTTGATTATTCTTTGTTTAATGCATTATGGTCATGCTCTTCACGTCATAATTAACGTCTGATATATGTAATCTTGTAAAGATTATTAAGTCCAGCTACTTAACCCTTTGTTTTGGGCATAAGGCGGCAAACGACTTAAAATATTAACAACAATTTTGCGATATGATATTGATATAATCTGTCCACTCGGTGAAATTTGCTTTATAAGTTGTATTCATATTCGGCATCTTAGTTGTTTTGTGCTTGTTTTGTTTATCTTATTAATAAAATATTGTCACTCCTTCAACCAAATACAACATGTGATTATTAGCTTAAATTATTTATTATCAAGCATGACATGTAATGATAAGTAAACAAATAGAAACGTATGGCATGTAACTCCACAAATATTAGGCACATCAATCATCATCACTTTCATGATCCATCAACACCCAGGAGCCGTCGCCCATTTGAAGCATAGACTTGTTCTTCGCTGTCCACCACTTAGCAACTACAAGATACTTATCTTTTAGCCCGTCCAAATATTTGTTTACTAATGCAAGATCACGTTTAACTGCCAATTTAAAATCATTTTCTCCTTGTGTTCCTGCAACTCCATGTAAGTAAACCTCCAAACTGTGCAGGCTCTGTTTCGGATCCTTCAAATACGGTGATTTGAAAGTGTCGAATCTCAGCTCTTTTCCGACATGAAGATAGTTTGCAAACGGCGGTAAAGAAGGGATTAAATCGTAGTCATTCGTGACACGCAAGACGTGAAGATTTTTCAGACCATAGAACACATTGCTGAAGCCTTGGTCTCCAAGACGAGGGGCAGCAAACACAATGGCTGTGACAGGACAGACTGGATGGCCTGGGGGCTTATTGTATCCATTATAAACAATGTCTGTAGCATTTAAAATTCCCATTGCAGCGCCCATGCTGTGGCCAGTGACAGTTATGCTGATTGTCTCATTCTTGTATCGGTTCACTACTTCTTTAATTGCAGCTAAAGCCTGAAAATACAAGAATACATAAATTTTATTTCTTGTTTACATATAGGAGCAACAAAAATTTAGACTAAAGCAAAAACTAAACCATAAATATATATTCATCCGATATTTGGTACGATGGTTCAAATTGGGGCTGCTTCTGAAAATGCTAAAACAGCTTTCTAACAACTAAAAGTGTTTTTAGGTCACAAAAAAACTCTAGGAACTTCTTCAAGAATCACTCAAAGTTTTTTTTTCAGGGAAACACTTGAATTTTTAATAAACTAAACTTGAAGTACTTCTAATACAAATAGAAGCGCTTCTTAAAAAAACCGCTTATGAGCATAAGTGTCTTTTACAGAAGCAGTTACAAACGGGTTAGTCCAATGCACATCACTAGCTAGCTCATCTAACAAAAACTAAAACATAAATAAAACGAAGTTACCTGAGCCCTACAACTAGTTTTGTTGTGTGGAGACTGAGGGTCAACATGAGTGTAATAGGAATGGAAACCATGGTGAACCTTAGGGTCATGCTTCTCTCCTAGAATATCAGAAGCACTAACCAAATCAAACACTACGTCAATACCCCACTCTGCCACCAGCTCAGTTCCTCTCCATGAAACCAAAATGTCCCTCCTCCCCAACACTTTCTTTCCCTCATCCGTTGCCACTGCAACATAACCCAACCAGATCGATTTCCCGGGTGATAATGTCGTTGCAGCGTATAAATATTTCTTCACCTTGTACTTGTATGGATTAGAATTCTCCAAACCTACCTTAGAGAACAAATATCTCTTTGCATATCGAGGAAGTCCGCAGTTGTCCGATTTTGTCTCATCAATGAAGGCGTCAGCTATGGCGGCAGTCCTTTCCCCGTAGTGAAGGATACAGCGGCGCAGATCAAGGTCGAGAGGGTTGAGTAGACCCTCCCACTCAGTCTCGCCACTGAGACGCCTCCACCTTTTTGCTATGCTATTCATGATTGTCTTCTTCTTGCTTAACCAGCTTGCAAAGGATTGATATTAGTAACTAATTAACAAACTTTCAAAGCATTGATCTTCTTGCTTAACCAACTTGAGGGGATTGATATTCTTGATGCATGCTTCTGGCATGACTCACATGCACCATCCAACCTCTTGGTAATCTCTAATCACGTATCTGTTTTGCTTTTTATTTATTTATTTTCTTTGATAATTAATTTCGTTACTTTCTCAAAATTATTAAGTTGATATATGGTATTCTTAAACTATGATTAACAGATAAACATGCACAAACACGTATATACACATACATACATATGTGTGTATACACAAAGGTGAACATGAGAAATGTCTCAAATAAATTTATAAATATAAATAAATAAATAAAAGCCCCTAAGGAAAACAGACGCAAATCTTTTCATCTTACTGTTATATGTTAATCTTGATCAATCTCTTGATCTTGTACATTTTTGTTTTAGGGAAATTCTGTTATTCGTTCACTGAACCTTACTACAATATTTGTATACCCAAAACTGCCTGTTTTACCCTTGTATAAAATGCAAGGAAAACTGAAAAATCAGAAGAAGAAAAAACGCATATTAGAAAGCTAGATTGGTCTATAATTAAGAGCTCATTTGGGAGTGATTCTGGAGATGCCAATAATCACTTTTATGGATAATCACTTCTTCAAATAATCACTTTAATTTTATGGAGAAACACCTCCAGTGTGCTTCTCCCCAGAATCACTTAAAATTACTCCCAAACAAGCCCTAAATCCACATTGAGTGATCTTAGTTTGGCTGATCACATAAGATCATAAAAAGGACTTAGTTTAGGTCCAAATTAATAACTAGAATTTCTTTATTTCACCAATTTTAACCTTTTGGTGCTTAATTCGAGAGGCAATAAGATATATAGAACTTCATTGATAGTAAAAGAAAGAGTACATAAAAGGCCACAACAGGGGCAAACTTTATTTATGCGACATTGTCATGCATATATAATATACGTTGATCAACTACATGGTTTTCATGCATCGTCATCTTTTTCGTGATCCATTAAAACCCAGGAGCCATCATCCTGTTGAACCATGGACTTGTTCTTCTCTATCCACCACTTAACAACAATACGGTACTCATCTTTTACGGCATCCAACAATTTGTTTACCAGGGCAATGTCACGATCCACTTCCAATTTGAAACCATTTTCACCTTGCGTCCCGGCAACTCCATGCAAGTAAACCTCCAAATCGTGAAACATCTCTACTATGCCCATCCAGTCATCATAATCCGAAAGAGCCTTGAGGTAGGGCGACATAAGACTGTTGAATCGCAACTCCTTTCCGACATGGACATATTTTCCTTCAGGTGATAAAATAGGGGCAAGATCATTAGTATTCGTGACACGCAGGACGTGAAGATTTTTTAGACTGGAGAATACTTTGTTGAAGCCTGAGTCTCCGAGGCCGGGGCAGGCAAACACAATGGCCGTGATGAGAGATGCCTTGCCTGGCTTGTCGCTAAGCTTATTGTATCCATTATAAGCAATGTCTGTTGCGTTTAGGATTCCAATTGCTGCACCCATACTATGGCCCGTGACAGTTATACTGATCTCCTCTCCTTTGTATTTCTTCAACAGTTCTTTGACTGCAGCAAGAGCCTGAGACAATGGAAAATTCAACAATTCTTTGATTAAGGAAACATTGATGTATGTATATAGTTAGGCTACGCTTAGAAGGTGGGACTGAACATGGAAAATTCAATTAAAATGGACAAATTATGCATGGAATATTAAATTGGACAACCGTATAGTATAATAATTTGTATGATATAGAGAGTTTCTATTGACTTATATGAGGGACATCCTTGTAAGATTCTATTTCGCATCGTATTCCATTGATCCAAATCGTCATTATTCATAAATTCTCTCTCAGAAAGATCACTCAAATCTAAAAACAGTTAACCGTTGATTTGAGGGTAGAAATTTTAGCGTGTTTTTGGAAATAAGAGACTAAACTGAAGTTAAAAATGAATGATAATTAACCTCTAAAAACTATACCTGGTTTCTGCAACTAGTATAATAGTTAAGCCAACCGGAGTGCACCTTAGGCTTATTGACATTGTCCTTGCCCAGAATGTCAGAAGCTGGGACCAAAGTGGTCTCTCTGTCAATATCAAACTCCTTCTCCAACTTGGTTCCTCTCCATGAAATCAGAATATCCCTCCTCCCCAACACACGCTTCCCTTCATCTGTTGTCACTGCAATATAACCCAACCAGATCGATTTCCCGGGCACTAATTTTGTTGCTGCATATAAGTACGTCTTCACAACGTACTTGTATGGACTATAACTCTCCAAACCCACCTTGGAGAACAAGTTTCTCTTTGCATATCGAGGAAGTCCGGAGTTCTTCGATTTTGGCTCGTCGATGAAGGCGTCAGCAATGGCAGAAGCCCTTTCTCCGTAGTGAATGATATAGCGGCGGAGATCAATGTCGAGAGGGTAAAGTAGACCCTCCCACTCGGTCTCACCGCTGAGAAGCCTCCACCTTCTTGCTATGGCATCCATGATCACCTTCTTCTTGCCTCACCAGCTTGAAAGGATTGGTATTATTGATTGACCAAAACGTGAAAGGATTGATGTTCTTGCTTGACCAACTTGAAGGAATTGATACTCCTGGTGCATGCTTCTCTCATGACTCATGCCCCATCCAATTAACACACGTTTCGTTTTGCTTGTTTTATTTATTTTCTTTCCCAATTCTTTTTGTCATTTATTCAACAATCCATAAAACCAAAAACCAAAATTTTTCTCAGAAAAATAAAGCCAAAAATGTTAGCTTGGTTTTGATAAGTACCGAAATCAACCAAAGTTTACTAGTATACGATCAATGATTACCAAATCGATCAATATTGGAAAAACAAAAACAAAAACAAAAACAAAAAATAGTGTGCTCAAGCGCTAATTAATATAATCACTTATCTGGAATTGCTCCATAATAAGATCCATAATCTGAACCGTTCATTATTCATTATCATCGTAAGTATTCTTGTCGTATTTTGAAAATTATGCGTTCGTCTATCTATTGAAATTTTGATGATTTTTGGCAATAATAATACATGAACAAGGATCTAAAGGTTGAACGGTTCAGATAATGGGTTCACATTGTATAGTGTGCTCAAACGAGTGATCAACAACATAGTAATTTACAAATTGGTTAGCACTTGGGGCATAGAAACGTAAGACATCGTCAAGGATCTACGACATTAAGAAGGTGACAAACTTCCACTTCAATTTCTTTGGATATAAATAGCATCTATGAACAGCGTATTAAGTACAATTTGTATTAAATACAGGATCAAAATGTACCGAATGTACGTTTTTGAATGATAGTTCAGACACAATACTCGTACATTTGTAACGATACAGGCAGCAGACAAATCTCAAGCATCATCATTATGCCAGAAACTATCGCCAGAGGCATGATTTGTGATACATTCAGAATCATTAGACTACAAGTACAAACAGAGACACAAGACAACCCAAATTCAATGAGAGGAAGAAATTACTGTTCCCTTGCTAACCTCACGGGTTTTTCCTTCAGGAAAGCTACATCACCTGCTGGTGTAGTCAGCAGATGATGATTTGGCCCCTCTTCACTTCCTTCTGTTCCAGATGATGCGATGGATTCTGATCCGTCGTCATCATCATCCTCACCTGTATTGACAAAATAAAAACGGTTCAAAAAATCTTGTAAGAGACACACATGTTAATAATTTATGGCAGCCTGCATGGCAGGATCCAGAAAACATCAGCTTAACCAACTAGAGTTCCCAACTTTCCATGACCAGATCAATATCCCAACCAAATGCAATTAAGCCAGGAGCTTGATTCCATCAGAGCGTTTGATGATTCTACCTCTTCCTTCAAATGAACTCGCTACAGATTTGCTAAGATTTAGTAGCAGCTTATCCAGAAAAGGTAAACGGAACATAGATTCCGTGTGATGAAATTCTACAGCTTTATTGATATTCTCTCTGATTAACATGCACCAGAACTACAGGTTGTGTGCTTTGCTTCATTTGTTAATCCAGCATCTCCACAACCTTGTGCACAATGTGATCATTTTTTTTTAAAGGAAACAAATTTTATTGTAATAGACAATAAAATACAGAGATGGCCTAGGTGGCCACACAGAAACAGTAACTAGACTGAACAAAACCCTAAGCTACTGAACAGTGTGATAATGCTCAAATAAAAATGAAAAACAGTTGCTCAACAAAATGATGGGTGGTTTGAAACCACTTGGCTTGTATTTTAATTATAGGTTCTAGAGAAATGTGCAAATTTATTGGTTTTATTTGTTTTTTTGGGGCATTAATTTTAGATTCAAGCATCGTTCAACCAACCTTGGGCAAACGATACACAGACTCAAGTAATCAAACATACCTAACACGTTTAGTCAATTTCGAGCATGCATAATCTCATTTGTTCAGCCTTGGTCGGCTGAATGAGGTTCAGACACATAATTAAAAAACTTCTACAGGTATCTAACTTTTTTCACAGCCTCATGTTTTCATCGCCTCACTTATTATCATGTGCATAAGAATCGCTCAAATGGAATCGCCCAACTCTCTTTATTGTTACTATATATCGCAAACATTTTTAAATAATATTGATAACAGATTGAAGAACCAACAATGGTGCGCTTATAGTTGAGTGCCCCACTATAGTTCAATGCTTCCTATTTTCACTCTCACCTACTACTTTCAACCAGCCCGCTCTCCTATGCATTCCAACCCTCTCTTCTAACCCCCACTCATTGCACACAAATCATATGTGCATGGGCCTTCTGTAGTACTATGAAGAAAAGATCTGCTTCAGTTCAATTTTATTTCCTTATTTTATATTTCTGCAACGATATAGATAGACACAGCATATAAGTTTCCCATGCAAAGACATGAGCATGTTCATACCATAACTTTTTTCCGTTCTCTTAGACAGCTGATGCAAGCATAATACACTTAGGTTTAAGTCAGAAAAATATGCAAAATTGTGATTCAAACATCTTTAGAAAAATGACTGTCAACTGGGAACATACCAGAATATGCAGGATGGTCAGGAAGATGTCTCACTGCTGCAATTTGAATGCTTTCTGGCAGAAGACAGTTACAGAAAGAACCTGAAACTTGAGAAAAACCTCTACTTAGATAAATGAAAAGCTCATTGAATCATCAACAAAGTATAGTTTTAGACCTTTATAAAACCCATTTCCGATAATGATGTTGATCTTCCTATTCTATGGAATCTACGGGCATGCAAAGCAAAGTTAATAAATAGTATCCAACCCTAACAAGGATATGTCATTCATTTATAAGGTCTACAAGCACCATCATGAAGTTCAAGATAGCTTGCTCTTGTGAATACTTAAGTACAGTATCTTTACTCTCACCTACTTTGGCCAGCCGATTTACCCATCCTGGTATAGGCTTTCCAGTTAGCCGCATACAGACCTCATCAGTAAAATGATTGCAATTCTTGGCGATTAAATGATAAGTATCACCATGATACTTTCCAGAAAGGTGCTCCATAAATGACCGCAATTCTGAGCGAGACATATCAGTGCTGCCCAACAGGACTGACCTTCTGAAGATGAAGCCAGGACAACTTCTTGGTTCCACCTCAAAAACCCCACTGCTAGGATACTCATGGGCTCCAAATCCATACTCCAAGCCATGAACTGGGTATAAAAATAGGTAGAACTTTGTCATGCCTTTCATCTATAATTTAATACGAAGACTTCCAAGGAGATTCCGTCCGACTACTCAAGTATAAAATATAGAAAAACCAAAGGAAAAACAAACAAAAATAATGTGTAATGTGTTGCAAAGAAAGAACTAAGAAACTGAATGTATTTCATTACCAGTGAATATATAGGTGTTTATATAGAATTCCAAAACACAAATTCAGCAATACAGATCAGCCTAATGTTTAGGAATTGAGCCAATCAATCAACAGTTAAAGCAATCAAGGAAGTCAAATCTTCGATCCGAATCAATTTGAGGGTGTAAACTAGCCTACACTCCAGTATAAAGGATACTCTATGAATTAATGTAATCCTCCAATATTTTTATTGCAGGTTTTTCATATTCAGGTATTCCATGGTTCATTAAGCATTATACCATTAATTCAACATATAATTCTCTCTAGTTACAATAACCCTTTATATAATTTGATCCCTCTCCCAAGTTGTACGTTTTGTAATTTGTATGATATATTTCCAGAAAACCCTGCATATATTTGGATGCTTCTATTCCAAGACCACAATTGTAGACCTTAACTCTAGTACAGATCTCGTAGAACTTACAATTATCTCTATACAATATCTTACTCTCTTACACAGAATCTCAAAACTATTTAATCATTTAATTTAATATAATAATAATAATAATAAATAATAAATAAATAAATAAATGGTTTCTAACTGTTAAAGTTATGTACAAAAGTGCACTATTATTTTCTCATTTAGCACTTAAGATCTTCAAAAAGAAAAACGATTAAATTATAAACTTCCTCTGTTTCATAAATATCCAATTTTGTTTTTAAGAAAGTACCATTAACACTCCAAAATACTAATCCTTACCTATATTTGGGTCTCTTTATGCATGGAACTGCACTTTTCATATGATAAGAAGATAGTTTTCTACATCAAGCCACACATAGCTGCTTAGATTTCATCATAGGATTATTTGAAATCTGCTGTAGGGAAATTCTCCGAAACAATAATTGTTTACATCTTGTCAATGATCAAATAATGAGCAAGATTTCAGACATTGTGCATATGAAATCTCTTGTAGTTACCATTTCAGTCACTCTATTCTCTTACTAACATTAGCATAGCTTGTCAATAAACTATAAGCATATCACAGTTTGCAGAGCAAATCTAACAACAACCACAACAATGCCCACCATACTCCTATTTCCACATAACTATCCATCCATACGAACAAAATACAACATGAAATTTCTGAAAATTCAAAATTTATAGCAATAAACCCAAAATTGTTCACAATTAAACAGAAATAACACCTAAATTGAAAATGAATATTCACAAATTCAAATTTCAATTACTAAGAGAGCTGAAAAGCCACGAAAGTCGCATACCTTCGATGCCGGAGTGGAAGATCCCAAATCCAAACCAGTAAAGGTAGTTATTTACAGGCGTGAGATCGTAGACATTGAGGTACAAAAGGGCGCGATTTTTTTTCCGATCAGTCTTCTCCCTTTCTGTGCTCGAGGTCGAGGTTGAGGTCGGGCTTGAGCTCAAAGGAAACAACCGCATTGTATTGAGTCGCTAACCCTAATTTCCTCAATTGCGTTCTGATATAATCACAAGCTGATCATCGTGTTCGCCAATCAGCAGGAACCTCAGGGAAGTGAATATAGTAAGGATGTTTTCTAACCTCGAGTTGTGTGTTTGGTTGCCGAGAAAATTTGAGGAAAATGGGGAAAGTTTTAATGTAAATTTTGGAGTTTTAGGATTTAATTATTTTTTACGATTATTGGAAGCTCTGTTCGTTCGTTGAATTTCGAAAGTGTGCGAATCGTCTCAGGGGACGACGATTAAGTTATTAATGCAGTTCGCTCCAAACAAGTGAAGGTTAGGACAATGCCCTTTGTTTTTTCGTAAATGACGAACTTGCCCTATGGCAATGACTTGCTTTTGGGTACATATTAGTATATTACCATAGGTTCAAGTGATTAGAGCACTTTCCTCCAAGTGATTAGAGCACCTTCCTCCCATGGTGCAATGTTAAAAGGCAAGGGCAAGTAAGAGCCGACACTATTTAAGTGAGTAAAGGTAAATAATATTCACATAAGATATGAGGAGATGAATTTGTATGGAGTTTTTGTATGGGAAGTGAAAAACTTTGCTAAGTATTTATATATAAAATTTTAAAAAATCTGATTTTTTTTATTTTTAATTTGGGTATTTAAATTGGTCGTTGATGTAATAGTGACATCAACGAACCCAAGCAACAGCTCAGACAAGTCTTGCCTTTGGGCTTGCCTTAGACTAATGGAACCCACTCCTTGCCTAGGATGGCCTTCACATCTGGAGTTGGTTTTTGAGGGCCAGGGGGCCTTCTGCCCGTCCTGGCTTGCACAGGTGGAAGTGCTCTTAGTGATGACAAATTTGCTCAGTCAAGCGCTTTTTCATTGAATTTTAATTATGTAATGGCCCTTGAATGTCCTTAATCAAACAAAAAATTTAAGAAAACTTGTTTGACTAAAAGGTGAAAACTTGTCCTCGAATTTTAATTATGTAATGGCCCTTGAATGTCCTTAATTATGCTTGGTGAATTCTCATGTGAATAAGGGAGGGAGAAAAGAACTGTGATTTTGGGGAAAGTGTTAAAGCTTCGGTTTTTACAATCCAAAATTTGATGGAAGAGGGTGGTACACTGGTACTAAAGAGAAATGGCTTTATTTTGATGGAGGAGAGTGAGAAAAACTTACTGAAAGATAAAAGAATATTATAATGGTTTTGCAGCTTGAGAGTTGAGAAGAGGAAAACACAGGTTTCAAACCATCTCACTAACTTAATAGTGGAGTCGGATACTCAAACAGGAATCTTAATGCTTACTGGACAGATTGCAGTAGTCTCAGATCTGGAGAGGATTATTTTTGATATCAAGCACTTGGTGGCTTCTCTTTCTCGGGTCTCCTTTGTGTTCGCTCCCAAGGCTTGTAACAAAGCTGCTCACACTGTTGCTGGTTTCGTTTCTAAACAGGGGGTAATCATGTTTGGGATGACCTTGGAACTGACTGGCTTTTCAATATTCTTGCTTCCGATGTAAACCTTACCATTCGTTATTAACAAATTTTTCCAGCGATTTTGACAACAACAAAAAAAAACCATAATAAATAAATAAAAAGAAGAGTTTCAGCGGGAGAGTTGGGAAGAGGAAAATGAATTAAATTCGGGCATCTACTCTCTTAGAATTTGTTAATAATTAATATTCAATTCAATTTTGATTTTGGTGCCTTGCACTTGCATGTGGTGTTGTGGGGTGATATTTAATATTTCATTTTTATTTTCATGTTTTAGTTAATTTAATGGGTTGACTTGGAAAAATTTGGAGGCCCCTAAATTTTGGGAGCCTTATGCGGTCGCACACCTAGCACACCCCGTGGGCCGCCTCTGGCTAAGACTCATGGCTCTCCTCGCGTAACGAGAGATTATTCAATGAATTTCCCTTCTTTATACAAAACATAAAAAATAAAAAGATCATTCTAACCTACATGCTTCACCCCTATAGTTTACCAAGTTTTCACTTTCATCTCCGATGGTTATATGTTGTTCATTTATATCTTTACATTTACCAAATGATTGCACTGCTGGTGTAAGTCGTCAAATTCATTTACTTTAGTCAATTTTGGTCTAAATGGCTATTGTGTGCAGGGACATTTTAGTCTCTTTAAGCTCTCAGGATTGGTCTTTTGATTTATTAGTAAATTGCAAATGTGTTCGAATCAGCAGCAAATATATAACATTGTGTTCAGTTTAAAAAATCTTGCTTTGACTTTTTTTTTTTTTTTTTTTTTCTTAAAGTTTGAAACACAAAAATACATTGAATTTAACAACATAATCTATTTTTTTCAATCTAATGATGTGGTGTGGATAAATGCCATTATAATTTTTCTCAAGAAAAAAGCCAAATAATCATTGCAAGACAAGAAAATGATTTGTGACCAACTGGATTGAATTCTCTGACCACACCCAGATGGCATCAATCATGCCACCGCACATGGTATTGTCTATTTTTTTTTCACCTCTGACCTAATAATAGACAATAATTTTGTGGCTTAGCAGGCCCAAAGGTCCCTCAGTTTTTGATTCTGTTCTTGGGTCCTCCTCCTGCAGCCGGCAGGCAATTGTAGCTCGACAATTGACAGAACCACATTGGATAAGGCACAAATGTTCATGTCAACAATTTTGAATTCTTTTTGTTTTCGTCTGACAAAATTTTGAATTCAAGATAGAGCATTTGCATATTTGCTTTCAATTTTAGGATTTATGTGAAACCAAATAGTGGAGTGATCATAGAATACTAGGGTTACTATCCTCGTATATACGTGTATTGATACTATTTTTTACATTTGTACAAGATGTATCACGTGACCATACTACCGTAATATTGTATAAATACAGAATCTAAAGTGAAAACACATGAAATTTCAAAGGGTGTTTTGTGTAAATAATTCAACTTATTTTCCCAAACACCAAATGGAGGGCTTTCCATCTTGTTTTTGTCACATCAAATGCCACAAATTTATACTTAATGGAAGAAACCAAATAAATTTTATTTTAGTAACACTAAGGAATCTGATGGCATGGTATTTACAACAGCCTCATCTGCAGGATAATAGGTGAGGAGGATACAATATATTACCATTCTTCTGACACTTTACATTAGAAGACATATTTACATCAGGAAAAAAACATAAAACACTATAATTACATGTTAAACATTACTTGTAACATTTGTTTCAATGTTTGTTACTTTGCATTTTGTTTCAACCATATACAGAACAAATTAGAATAGGGCAGGAATGTGTGTTCTTACGCTGGGCAGTGAGGTAATGTAGGCCTTCAACAACTTGAACAATTGAAATCTTGAGCATCAACAACATTATAGTACAAGGAAGACAGTCTGCCATCAAATTTTGAGACCACTTGATGAGAAGATAGACCGCAGTAACGCTTTCCTAGCCGGGCGATACATATCGAAATGATCTTCTTGAACATGGAATCCTCTTGTATTAGTGGTTGCTCCACAAACTCATCCAGGGGCATCCACTGCACATTAATGGCACAAGCTCTAAGTTCGAGCAATCAACAAATCCAATAATGTTACCAGAAAACCTTGTTTGGTGCAGATAAAATGGAAAATAGTACTGCATTTAGCTTATGGCCATTAATTTTGTTGATCCTGGTTACCAAAACTATATGAGGAATGAGAAATTATTAGTCTCTTAAGCAATGCCAAAAACCAGAAGTTTGTAAAGCTGCTAAAGCGGGTAGCAACCAGCCCATGGCTGGGGCATTACGGTTAATTTTCATAGCTTGCCTATGGTCCAATATTTTCATGTCATCCTTAATTTACTAGATAGTCCTGAATGTTTTTCCAGTTTTTGCTTGTAGAAGACTAGGAAAGTACATTACAATTTTATCAGATGTCCCCGAAGGGACGAAGACTAGAAGTACATTGATACCATTGTATCAAGAAAGAAGACAGAGGGCAACGGGAAAGAGGGGAACTAGCAAGCAATTGTATAATCTCTCCAACTAGTTTTCTTGTGGATTTTCTGTACTTTTCGTTTTTATTTTCTACACCCCTATTATAGCTTTGTCATGATAGCCGGATAGGCCAAAGCTGTAAAAACTGAAGCCATTAAAAATGGTGCTAAGCTTGTATTCTGTGAGTGCAAAAATTTACCTTGGCTGCTTCAATTTCAAGATCATCAACTGTAATCTCAGTCGATAGTGGCCGTAGCATGCAGATAAAGAACAAATCTGACTTCTCAAAAGCTACATTGTGAGCATGCCTGGAGTTGAAATTAAAGAAAATATTAGCTGCCGTCTGTTGATGGAAATCAGTACTCAGGACTCATATGAAGTGTCCCATTGCACCGGATTCAACTGCTTAATTTACTTATCGAACGCTTTTCCCTCACAAATATGCAGCATTCTTTGTAAACAAAACGATGCTTACGATATGTACTCACTACGGTTTTTCATAATGTTACAGTTGAAAAAGAAAAAAGTGTATGCATTGCAAAATGTAACAAAATATAATCATCTTCTGTCACATGTCTAAGTGTTGTGAATAACAATTAGATATGGTTATTACCTGAATGCTATAACCTCAACGAACTCTGTATCGATCTGCAATTAAAACAAAATGCAGCTAACAGTATTAGAAGAACATGATTGGATATTAACTACTTTGTAAGAATAAATTCTTGCAATCTGGATGGAATTGAGCCTTAGAAGAAATATTAGGTACCAAATTCTTACCCCCGTTTCCTCCTTAACCTCTCTCACAGCGCCTGTGAAAATCTCTTCCGACTGATCCCAAAGGAAGAAAAATATAAGTAGACAAAGAATTAGAAAAACATGATCTATTGCAGGTCCAAACTTGGATAACATACCTCAAGGATAAAGCCAGTTGGTATTTTCCAAAAACCAGCGCACGCAGGAGCATAGTGTTTCTCTTGTACGACAAGAACCTGCAGTGCGTCATCAGTTCAATAATGCTGCATTTAATCAAGGGGCTTGAACAAGTTTATCAAAGCCGATTAACTAAAGATAAGTGCAGTGCACATTACTAGTTCTAATACGATATATAAATAGTTTCTTAGGTTACAATTATCGGAATACATATTAGATTCAGCAAGATTACTACTTAGGCTGGTCTGTCTGAAAGATACAGAACCTAAGATTCAAAGAATCTCTCGCTGACTATGTTCAAGTCATGGCACTTAGGTTGGTTACAAAAAGATTTAGGTAGGTTTCTTGCATCCAATAAAGTTTAGGAATAAAATTTATGAGAAAGCTACCTCATAAGTTTCATACAAAGATTAAGAAAATTGGCTAGTTGTGTATCCCAAGTATGAATTTATTGTTTCTTTCTCACATTATCAACAGAGCAATTTATACCTCATTATTTTCATTGATGACAAATCCCCCAATCCCTACTTGATGTGAAGCATTAGCAGGAAGCATGCAAGGTCCTTCTGGAATCCAGTATGTCAACATCACATACCCTCGTTCTGCATGGTGGTACTCGAACCCTTCCTGAAACCGGAGAGATTACATCAGATAATCACAGTACACTCAGTAAATAACCAAAACAAAAGAAAGGAATATAATTCTGCGAACCGAATTACTTGTTCTGTGAACTTTCTTCTTTCATTCACCTTCAGCTCACGAAACTCTGGTTTCGTATCGTAAATCCTTTTATATAGAAGTTAGTAAGGTACCTTAATAGCAACTGGAACAAGCTCAGCTCTTTCTACTGGCAGCTTTAGCCAAATTCCCTTCTTCCCCTGCGGTCAAATGGAAATTATATATTACATCTCCTAATGGTATCAATTATATTATAAGGGAAGGGAACAGACATAAGGCTCGTATAAATTACAAAGACCAAGGATATATAAGCAGTAAAACCATTACCAGACAACAATGTTAATTTAAAAGGAGGGATCAGAAAATCAAAGGCTCTCCATGTGACTAAAGTTTGTAATTATCAGTTTCCTAGCAAAAAGGTGAGGTACCATATTGTCTGGCATAGGCAGAGAATATATACCTCCATGCTCCAATGAGAAAGAGAAGAATGCAGGATATAGCCAAAGGCATTCGGGTTTGCTGGTAATCGTTCTGGATCAACGATAACTCCCCCGTACTCATCATCGAAGGCATCAAGTACTGTAATCTCTCTGGGAAACAAATTCGGTCTTGTCCCTGTGCCATTTGTTCCAATTATTTGAAACAAGCAAGTTTCCCCTGCAAGTTTATCTCCAACTGAACCAATAGCGTTACTTGACGGAAAGTTATTTTTCGAACTGGAAGGAGGAGAAGAATAAGAAGCCTTCAGAAGAATCCCTGGAAAGGAAACTAATAAGAAAACAAAAGGGAAAACTTTCTTATGAACTCAAAGTCTAAATCAAGCATTAAGATAAATTTCTAACTTTCTTAAAAGGAAAAGAAAAGGGCATGCATTCTCTCATTAGTGATCATATACTAGCATAGGTCCTTCGTTTACGTACTGCAGTCTCATTAAGTTCTTGAATGGAAAATTTAGCTGCAAACTCATCAAAAAAGGCAGGACTTTGAAACTCAACTTTCAGCTAAAAACACTAAAAGAGGGGGCAAAAAATGAAAATTTTGAGAATTAAAAATTTTTAAAATCCTATTTTTCTGTCTCCTTGTTTTTGTTGTCTGAAAACAATTACCTCTGCAAGAACAGAACTGGGGAGAGAATTTGGCACCAGCAGGTATGTGCCTGAAACCCGAAAACCGGTTCGAATACATCCTTCCCATCTGAACCGTCTCAGATGCAGACATAGCTTTCGATTCAAACAATCTCATCTCCATTACAGACAGTAAAGTAAATCCCAACTAACTTAAACGAAGCACAGCCGTACCATCCAATGAAATCAAATATATGCTGAAATACAACACGACCTCCTTAACTTAGACCAATTAACATTAATTTAATCATAACGAGAGTATCCCAACTCCCATCACACGTAACGCTCTGGAACAACAAAGAAGACCATAGGATTCGACGCCGGTCGGAGTGAACGAGAACTTGGTTGCTTGCGCAGCAGAGTAAGATTGTAAATTGTAATGGCAATGGAGAGCCAGTTAAGAAAGCAGATTAAGACAGGAAACCAAGGGATGATTAGGCAGTATCTGATCCGAAAAGCAGTGATTAACGTAGTCGTTTTAGGACCAAGGAACCAGCTCAAAAAATCTAAATATCTTTCAGTGTTTCACAGTTAATTTAATGCAATGGAGAAAACGAGGGAAGTCACTAAAATTTTATATAGCAGCACAAATTTGAAGACCAAACGCGTTAAAAAGAAAAGGCCTGGAAATGCCAACAGGAGACAGACAAACACATGAGGACCTAATGTGGCACAAACCCAAGTGAGGACAGCCAATAAAAACCATGCTTATTGCATGAATCTTATCTGAAAATCAACAAGAAGAAACAGAAGTGGGGTACGTGGATATATATATATATATATATATATATGTTTGTTTACTTTATTTTTATGGTGTGGAATGCGTGGTGCGGTCGTGACATGGCAAACAAGCACTGGAGCAAAAGGAATTTGTTGAAAAATACAAATGTGAAATTGAATAAAATATGGTGAGAAATTTGTAAAGTTGACAAAGCGACGTAATAGTCAGGTGACTAGGCACTCACTGGGGAGAAATGTGGTTGAAAATGAGGCATATAAAACATGGGGCGGAAATGGGGTTGAAAATTAAGTATTATTAATCTTAATTCTTTAATTAATTACATAATAAAATATCTTTTCTCTCTCTTCATTCACGTTTTAATTTCTTTAATTAAACCTCATTAATTGCCACGCCTTCTGCCATTAACAACCTTTCTCAAACTTTTTCTTCTTCTTCTTCATGCCTGTTACATTATGAGTTGCTATGGTCTGAATTTTCATGTTGTTTTCCCTTCTTCTTTTTTTAAGTTTAGCAAAATGAAGCATATGGTTACAGTATAAGTAAACTGTTGGCCTCTTCGTTCGTCTGACTATTAAGTTAATCGTTATCGTTTCACATGACATTTGGTTGGTGAGATGTACGATTTTTTCTTTACATGGACACCGGATTGATACCATGTGGAACTAACATCTATGTAAACTGAAATTCAGTTCACCCAGTGCTATGCTAAAGGAGGTGGTTCCATTATCCTCCAATATCATCTCAAACCAGAAATTTTCAGATTTAGTTTGGTCAGAATCTTTAGGTAATTCATTTTGCTTTTGTGTAAAGTAGTTCATTCCCATTAGAGCACGTGATTTTCACGGACATATTTGTGAAGTGGGCTAGCCAAAGGTCTGTTCATACTTAATCCTTCACGTGAATCGGAACAAAAGGCAAAACCAAAAAGTTAAAAAATAAACTTCATAATCGAGATTGTCCGCACAAATTATAATCAGACAGGTCATCACCAAACTTCATGAGGTGAGTGATTCCATCTTGTCAAGCCCCACATGGATACAGGGGATGGGAGAAAAAATATCATTCCTAATCGGATTATAATTTAGTAATGATATTTTAAATATCATTCAGATATTTAAAATATATTCTTTAGTGGAAAAAGAAAATAAGATATTTGAAATCTGTCACTTTTAGGATCTAAAATATCGAGAGTTTCGAAAATATCAGTGGTATAAAAATACAGAAATATTGAGAAAATATCGATATCTATAAAAATTGAATAAAAATTACCGAAATTATGAGAAAAACTTAGAAATTTTTATTGAAACTTTAGAGGATGTTTACTTAGTCAATTGTCTATTATTTTATCACAACAAATTGGAAGGAAATGCATGGCATGATGGGTTTGAGTGATTTAAGTTGATTATGTAGCACCTGACAAACACTGTGACTTTAGAAAATATAGAGTAATTAGTGAAAGAAAATTAGACACACCATAATTTTTAAGTTATAATAATTTACTACAACATATTATACTTGACACATATGATAAGATATATGAGCTTGACCAAAACAAACAAAGATAAAATATATAAGTAATTTAGTATCACATAGAAAGAATTCCTATTACATTCAAACTTAGTATCGCATATAATAAACAATATTAAAACTCAATAGTGAATAATAATACAACTCCATAATAAAATAATAAATAACATTAAACATATGCTTAAATTTATCCTTAGGGAATTTTTTATATATGAAAATTTATCCTAGATTAAATTGAATGTGTGGGAAATTATCATCTCCGACATTATCCCGATATTATCGGCGAGACTGTGGGATCAATCAATAATTTTAGTTGTTTTGTTGTGATAGAGAGTAATTGTAGGACAGACACTTTTGTGGGCCTTGTGGTTTTGCTTGTAGTCGTGATCATGCTGGGGGATACCTTATTTCATTCTCTGTGTCGATATTTTCTTCATATGAGCGATTTTGAGCGACTGAAAAGTTGAACATGAGACTTCGTGTGTACAGATGAACCGTGGTTCGTAAATATTCTCAACCAATTACTTCAGCTACAAGCCCTTAATAATTTGATGTTGGACAAACTAGCAGTGTTTTTAATCATAAACACAATATCAGCATAAAAAAAATGTATCAACAGAAGATAATGGAACATTTGAGCCATATTGATCAAATCAACCCCAAAACTCATCTTCGAAACGATAGAGAAACAGTGGGAGATTAAAACTTTTATTGATATTTTATTTTGCATTATCAAGCTATGTGTCCATCAAACCCATACAACATAAGGAAAAATGATCAAGAATAAAGGAAAGGAAAAAGATCAAAATGGTCAAAGTGAGAGGGAAACTACAATATCCAAAAGTACAACAGAAAATGACTTAGAGTGTGTAATGTGGGTTCACTTCGATATCTAAACCCCTTAGCTTTGCAAAGGACTCGACCTTCCCCTTCAGAGTGTGAAGCTCCCTCAGTCTGCATTGCAAAGAAACAGCGAAATCAAAGTTAGGCAACACACAACACCGCCAAAACACGTAATAACCTAAGATGCTTATGTTGTCAGACGGTGAATCTAAATTGTTGATTATGTTGATTTTTGCCTGAATGTGCAATCTAGATTCACAGTCTATAAATATAAGCAGTTGTTTGGCAACATAATATTTCTCATGTTTTATATATGCTATTGGTATATGCAGAAAACTTGAACTATCCAACGCAAGAAAAAGGCCAACCTTGCAATCTCTGCACGTCTCCTGGCTTCTTCAGCCATGATGCTAACGTCCCTGAATGTGTGCCTCTCAGGGATGTTCCTTGACTCGGATGGGAGGCCATGAACCGTTCGCTGTTCAGCAGCCCATGCAGCCTCACGAAATTCTTTACCGAAGTCCTTTTGGGTGTTGAAAGCCGTCTGCAAAATTATAGACATACACATAAATGTTCTCTTAGAAAGGTCTAATGAGAAAAGTAAGTCCAAAAGTTTTGTTAAAATCTACAAAAGGAAGCCTAACAGAGGAACATGGCAAACCAAGCACAAATTTTCATTCATTCTTGATGTCTAATACTAAGAGAAAAAGAAAATTGGGTCAAGAGATGGAAGGTTCAAATTCACTCACTCTTTTGTTCAATACCAAACTCCATGCCCTCCCACTGAGCGCATATCGAACAAAAAACTTGATAGGATCAAGTAGCATATAGATGAGAATGTTGTATAACCATATGATTCCACACCAACGCCAGCCGATGGCTTGAATTCGAGCAAATTCCCACGTTGCTTGAGCAGATATTGCTGTTGCAACCTGTAAGCATGGAGCGTTTCGTATTATGAATTCAAACCGTTGTAAGTTTAGTATTGTAACTCAAGTTTTCTGAACAAAAGGAAGTTTAAAATAGATCTTCCAAGCATAAATTTTGATGAATGTGAAGCATTATTTGAGCCTGAAGAATTTCTACCTAATGTTATATATTGAAAGCTTTTCGATTGAAAAAGGATGAAACTGTTTACCAGTTGAGCAACTATGAAAGCACTAACAAGAAGAAGACCAGGTCTTTCTGTGAATGACCACCCTCTGGAGCGAGTAACAAAAATTAGAGCCTGGCTGATGGTGCTAACTTGAAGGTACACGGCAGATGCTAGCTTTGCATTTAGTGGCTCGTTGAGACTCTTTTTTGTATAATAGAGCGGCCCGTTGAAGATATCATCTGCTTTGAATTTTTTCTGAGAGAGAGAGAGGTTAAAATCTTAATCATTGTCATCCAGTACAAAATGTAAGCCCTGACAATGTTCATCTATGCTAAAGGCAATAACCATGAAATGAACCAAATGCAAGTTTACACATGCAAAACTGAGAAACTATTAAAATCGGGGACTACTAGGATTTCTTTTAGGCAAAAACCTTATTTGGATCTGAAGACAAAAGGACAAAGAAAGTTCTATGATGCCATATCAAACTACCTTTGATACTGCAAATTTAAGCTTGTAGGATATGGGCTAAACAAGGTATCAGCAAAACATAGAAATAGTAACAGTAAGATAAAGAACAATTAATAGATTAAGAGAAACTAATTCATATAATTTCCCCTTGCAAAACTTCAGAAATTTAAAATTCTTCTTTTTTTATCTGGATAAATCAACGGGTTACTAGGAAAGGATGCACAATACTCATGTTTACCTGAAAGAATTGAGTTTCGTAAGTGATATAGAAGAACACAACTGTCGTCACGGCGAGGTAACTGCCTAAGACAATCCCAGTTGCAAATATTTCACTGAGCTTCCAACTGTCAGGAACTGGAGATGGCTTAACTCTGTCTTTGGATATTGTCATAATAGTACCTGGTAAGTAGTTTAA